CTTCTTATTTCGAATTATTTCTTTCCTCCCCCTCCTCCTCCCCCCCCCCCCCCCCCCACCGATTAATTGTCGACTCAATTATAGCGACTGATTAAATATGCAATTTCAAAATAAAAAAAGGATGATTCAAAGAAATTTATTACGATTCGTAGTATACCTAATTTTTCTTTCTTTTCTTCGTTATGGCATCAGAATGCCAACGGCAATGAAATTAATTTCGAAGGAAATAAACTCTCGGAGACTCGAAAACTTCGAGAAAGGTGCCTCCTAGCTACGAGAGAAATGTAGGACAAGACGTGATCCTATCGAGAAATCTGTGCAAGTGAGAGCCTTCGTGATATACTGGCGAATGTCGTTATTCGAAAACTTTTCTAGCGCGTTAATTTTCTTCCTGACTTATTCTTCGAGATTTTACGAATGTCGTAATCTCATGGGACAATAAGAAGAACGAACACTCGATTTAACAGAATGAAGGTTCAATTAAATTGATCTCCCGATTTTCATATTCTTTTTAATATTTTGTTCCAAATATTGTGCACATGATTTCGACATAAATATATCATAAACGTATTCATTTTGAAATTATTCTTATAATTTCTATTTTGTAAGAACAAAAAGAATTATTCATCAAAACCAAAGCATTATAAGCAGTGTTTCTGATCATCACCGAGAAAACTAATTTCATGTTAATGTCACCCCTTTCGTTGTATTATCAGTATGTAAAGAGGTGGCGAATGAAGTTGAGAAAAAAAAGAAAAGAGGTACCTGATGTAGAGATTGTGAGAGAGAGAAAGAGAGAGAGAGAAAGAGAGAGAAGAAAAGAAAAAAGAAGATGTAGAGAGTGTGAGGGAGAGCTTTGTTTGCGTTGCGATGCTGTCAGAACAATGCAAATCCATTAAGAGCCGCCATTCGTTTGCTGTAAAATTATGCGTTTACGGGGTCGAGCACAGGATGCTATATTTCCGGGATGCAACCAGGAATTACACGTAGCAATTGCACAGGTTAACGAAAGAAGCATTAATGCCTTGCTTCCCGTAATCTAATTTTTTCTTCTTCCTCTCTCTTTTTCCCATTCACTATATAAAATTTTTGAAAAATTCTTTTGATGAATTGATCATTCCTACATCAATCAGAAGATACCGATTGTCATTACGAGATTGTCAATCTCGATTATGCATTATTATTATTATCGTTAATGAAAATAAATTCATAGAGAATAATACAAGATAAGATTTGAAATAAATTAGGATATTTATCGCAGTAGCAAAGGGTCGTAAAGGGTAACGTTCCCTTGAGAATATATCTCGTAATCATTGGACGAGTTTTAAGTACCGGGACAGTAGGAAAATGTATGATATAATTAGTCCGACGGAATGGCACATAAAAGAGGTCGTGATGTCGTAACTGCTTGGATGGCACGTGTAAAACCACGTAGTACTCGTGAATAACGTGAGACCGTTTCATTGAATTATGAAGATAATTATTTAGAAAGTCGAATTATTTATATACCTACATATGTACATATGTATACGTGTATCAAAACCTCGTAAAAAAATCTTGACAATCCATTCATGCGTACTTCGTTTTTAAATTCAATGAAGAGGAATATATGTGCTTTTATACAAAGTGCTTTCGAAGGAAAACCTTGTGAATTTTTCTTACATGAAAATTTTCAATATTCCAATGCCAACCAACTGACTGCCTGCTAGTGGTTCTTTGAAGTGGCCAGCTGGACGAAAGAGAAGGTCTATATATAAAACTCGATCAGGATACGAAGCAGATATGCGGCAAAAATAGTTGTAAATATTTGATCGAGCCGTTCGTTCCAGATTCAAAAGACTCTATGTCGAGGGAAAATTCAGAATACGCACGAACTCGCGCTCGCACACGCTTTCTGAACGGGCTCTAACTCCGACTATTTCTCGTGCTCTAATAACGCCACGAAAATTAAGGTTGTTCCCTTATTCTCGCAGCTTTCTCGATTTCACTCGTTTTAGCTACGCGAGAGAATAAATTTGTCTAGCTTTGCCAGGATCTTCTTTTCTACCCTCTGTTTTTCCACGAACGAAACAATGGCGAGGTCGTCTTATAACAAAGCGAAGGAAAGCTCTCCTGCTAAAGAGCAGAAAAGAAGTGAAAGGGGAAAAAAAGAACATTGAAAGTTGGATTAAACTTTCAAACAAATGCGGCTTATCGCCCACCACAAGGACATTTTTAATAAATTATAATCCTTTCTTTGCTTAGCATAAAGAGTAATTAAAAAAAGAAAAGAAAAGAAAAGAAAGAGAGAGGAGGGAAAGGAAGAATTTTGAAATATTCAGAAGACGTCATATGTCAGACTTAATAAAACGTGCATTGCGATGAAAAAGAAAAGATACTTCGTCGGATGATTTTCGTTTCGTGAATAGGGCCTTAAGCAGGACGCACACAAGCATATTTAGAGGAAACACGTTTAAGATTGACCTGGGCGAGCAGGCATAGGACCCACGAGGCGAATACTCCCCTCTACTCACGCATCTATACTTTATAGCCTTTGGCTTCCAATCCGGCTAACGTATTATAAGACAGTCAT